CACTTAGTCCGCACAGCCACTCCCAACAGGAAGGGGGGTAAGGATAGCACGCCAGGCCACGATTTGGGCACTTTCACTGCACGTAACTACCCCCGCTAGCCAGCCAGCCAGCCACCGTTGAATCTGTAGGTTGGGGCGCTGACAAGGGGGATGCCAAATTAGGCATGAGTAATAGGGCAAATCGAGCACAAAGAACGAGAAGTTGGCTATACTAGACAGCCAACACCTCCCGACTTGCAGATTCCTTTCCTTCCCCCCTAATAGTAGCGGCAGCAGCAGCCCAGGCCTGTCCAGCTGTTTCCCCTCTCCACCGTGTTTGAAATCCTGACCAACATTTTGCACAAAAACCTGCACCAAAGGGAAGTTTTAGCATCAGACTCAGCTTAAGACTTTTTGGACGAGAACAGCGTCATCAGGCGCCTAGAAAAGCTATACACAATTGATCCAGAATCTCTTCAGCCCTGGAACGATAAATTTGTCCAGCGAAAACGAGCATAATCCACAATGCAATGGAGGGGGCAGAGTTGTGACTAACACATACATTTGTTCATGGTAGAACAAATTTTTATCGTATTTATCGTACTCTCTCGCTCCCCATACCCACAACGGCCCGGTGACAGGAACGAGTCAAGACGACTACAGACGGGTCGGAGGGCGGTGGCTGAAAAGGCAAAACCTCTGTCGATGAAGTTCACAAATGTGCCGATCGCTGCATACACACTATACACTAACTCTAAGCCTATCATTAGAGGTATCTACTTTAAAGAACTCAACAAGGAGACATTGTAGGCGAGCCTGAGTGGAACACAGTTATACCATCAGTCAACGGGCTCCGAAAACACGACTGTTAACGTGGCGTGGCAGTTTGAACGAGTGTTAATTTGTCTGTCGCGGAAATAACTGAATGCTGGATCGGAGCTGGGGATGATCTCATGCTATCTTCCTGTTTTCAAATCAGCGGCAAGCTTGAATCCAGTTTGACTAAATGTGAAAACGGGTATAATTGCTTGCGTGTGAAACTTCCGGTTAACGTATGGCACACGCCACACCCTGTTACTAAAACCCTAGGTCAGCAACACAGTCGACCATGATGACAATAGTGCTCAAGATTACATAAGTAGGCATACTGGATATAACAAGCGATTAGGGTAGCAAGAATTCACCTGTTGAGATGACCCATGAGGTAGCGCAGGCTGTGATAGTGTGCAGGGGGCAACCGCTGGATGGCTTCCC